GTCCGTTAATTCGTTCGCGGTTGATTAACGGCCAAACGGGATTGATTTACGCCCGAATTTTCGCGCATAGACCTGCACTGCTGCAGCTCAGAAGTCTTGGAAGAAATACTTGCACGAAAAAGCCTTGTACAACGAAGAATCTATTTTAATGTATGTTGATATGCCAATCCTGCAATATGCAAATCACATGCATTCGTGTATTTTGCACTTGGTAAAAATTTTAATTATCAATTAAAATAATCCGTATAATTCTACTATATATAGTTATATCATGACGTTATAATTGAATCAGGTCTCGATTATCCGAAATTATTCTCCGGAAATTATCCTGAATCAAAGGAAATGAAATTAATAATCTGCGTGTTTCACTTTTGTTAAGAAGTTGCAGCTATTATCCATTACTTTTTAAAATATTTTCTTTTTCTCGTGCATCTAGTACACTCGAGAAATGATGTTCATTCTAATTCTCGAATAATTACTATATGTTGTAATTGCTATACATGTAATTCTAATGTCAAACTCGTTACAGAGGAGGACTACGACGCGTTCTGTCTGTCGTACATGTTCACGTATCGCGACTTCGAGAAGGGGACGCTGGGTCTGGCGTGGACCGGGGATCTGAAAAACGCCGGTGGAGTTTGCGAGAAAAACGGGGTAAGTTGCCGGCTGTGGGGAAGCGTAACAAAACTAATTCGACCGTGGCACCGCCGTCTGAAATAACGTTGTTCCGCGGCGCATTCACGATACTCGGACAATTACCTCTGGGCAGAACTAACGCTATTTCGTCTTGCAGCACTACAGGGGTAGCATGAAATCGCTGAACACCGGTATAATCACCCTGCTGAACTACGGCAAACACGTACCACCCACGGTTTCTCACGTCACCCTGGCGCACGAGATCGGTCACAACTTCGGATCCCCTGTAAGTTCAACGGTGCATCGGGGCTTGCATGCTGTCGACGCGTACACCGAATACATTTGAAAAGTTTCGAGGGTGGGTGCCATTGCGGAGACACTGTTCCATCGAAATAATCGTGTTCTCTGCTACAGTTGCTCCCTACAGCCTTCCCTTCCTACTTTCTCCTTCCTTTTCCCTCTCTTCTCTTTCCTTCTTTCTTTCTTTTTGCAACTTTTGTTCCCGAGCAGAAGGAGTAGAAGGCGACGTAAAATTGCATTTCTCCGGCGGCACAGTCGAAGGGGTAAGTTGCCGGTCTTTGGAGGAAAGGTGTTTGGAGGCAAAGAATCCGAGCAATGTCCTGTATAATTAAGCGTCGAATTGTTTGGAAAGTTGCCGTTGGAATTTTACGCGGCAGATCGTCCATGTTCGAGTTATTTCAAGAACGATCTCGCGCGCGCGCGCTATGGAAGATCGCAAGTTTTTTAGGGGGGAAAAATTCGGTATGCCGGGAAATTGGAAAACTTGGGCACGGGTGAGATTTGGAAATTTCAGAAGTTTCGGTGAGTATCCGGCGATTTGAGAATGGGAGGATTGGTAATTGGAAAAATCCCTCTCAGTTTAGGGAACAGGGAAACGGAAGAATGCGAGGATTCGGAACTTCAGAACTTGAAAGTTTGGGAATTCAGAAATTCTTGGGAACTTGTAACAGTAAAATTCGGGACACTTTGGGAAAACTTTGACAATTCGGCCATCTGAAAATTCGAAAATTCCCGAGTCAGAGCAATTCAACGAACGTACTTTTATCTAAATTTTCATTGCAATTTTCATCTCGCTGGATGTCAGCAGAAAGCTATTGTCCTCTCCACAACTCTAAAAATACTCCCTTACAATCGACGCTGTTCTCACCCGCCGGTGAGAAAATTCCGATTATTTAATTTAACCGTGGCAAGCAACATCCGCGTGGTTAATTCAAAGGATAAAAGAGCCAGCGTCCCGGTTAATTGCAGCTTCTTTCTCCTCGAAAGGGTGTGACTCCTCGAGGTTCGCCGCGTTATGCATGACAAACAATACCGCGGAATGGATAATCTGACGTTCGCCTCTTTCTGTTAACGCGACAAGCACGATCCGGACGAGTGTTCGCCCGGAGGGGAGGACGGAAATTTCATAATGTTCGCCAGGGCGACCAGCGGCGACAAACGAAATAACAACCGCTTCAGCCCGTGCAGCCTGCTCTCTATAAATCTTGTTCTAAATGCCAAAGCTCGTTCGTCCAAGGGATGCTTCGCCGGTGAGTAGAGAGAAGCTTCTGGAATTTTAATTAGTTGCCGAACAGAGTCAACGGTTAGGCTGTGTTTCCGGTCATCACAGCCGTGACCTCTTTCATCTCGATTGAAAGCGTCCGCGCGCGTTCGTTGGCCGAATTATTTATACAATATATCTTGGCCGAAGATGCTTTGCAGGCCGCTTTGCTAATTACTTGTTAACGTTATTTCCTGTTGTATCTCTACGCGCCACGATAGATGTATCTTGTGATCGGTGGAACTTGAGAATTTTGACATTGTTGCAACTGAAATAACCCTCCGAGTGTTTAAAGCTTAATAGCCGAATGAAGAGCAAATAAATTCAAAATGCATTCGTTTTCAAACGAATTTTAAATTTATGTTTGATACGATTCAGTATATTGCAACGTGTTATTCTCTTTGAACTCTTCTAGTAAGTAAACCAATTATTTTATTATTAACTACAAGATTATCCATAGAATATTCTAGCACCGGCTAAATACTCAACGTCTTAAGGAATTGGTAATGGCGATCAGCGTTTGTTACAAAGTAATGAGTTTGGTTATCGTAAAAATATTCTTTCGTTTTTTAACAATTGCACAATGTACAACAACCGCTGGCTTTGAACATTTAAGAACGCAGCGTAAATATCCATTTATTATAAGATATAGATAAGATAAAGAATGACGATGAAAAATTATTGATACTTTAAATTGTTATAACTTCATAAAAAGAACTGTACGACAGTTCACTTGGTTTCATTTGAAAACGCAGAACCTCTACTTTGACAGTATCGAGTTTGATTTTTTTCAACCATATTTCTTTTTTCCACGTAATAGGTGGAGAAATATCCCTAAAAAGCACTGAAATATTTTTTTCATTATGGTCTTGAAGATTGAATTTCCTCTTACCGTATGATTTTTTTTTTTTTTGAAAATCATTTTATTGAATTCTGAATATTACGACGAAAATTCAAGAAGTACCCGATATTCAAAGTTAGATAAAATGATAGCACGGCACATGCCAAATTCAATAATTTCAACGTGAATTAATTATAAGTTTTTACACACATGCATGATGATAATTTGTAAACTTACTTCGTGACATAACAATTATGTAATGGAGAAGATATAAGGAAGAGAAGAGGCGTCGGAAAAACGCTTCTCGATCCATTTTTATTACGCTAATATTGCCGTGCAGCAAGATAAAACGAGAAGAAAACGAGGGAGGATATCGACGCTGCCTCGGTATATCGATCGACCTCCAGATCTAACTGCAACTCAATTGCAATTCTAATAGCGGGCTTTACATGGTTCGCGCGAAAACTCGTTTCGGACAACGAGCATTCACCGCTCGAACGTACGAGCAAACGAGCGACAAGTGGGCCAAACAAGAAACAAATACCGATCGGTTAATTGTTAATAACATAAAATTCCTCCGTGACCGTTGGTAATCGATGAAAAAGATTCTTCGAGTAATAAAGGACACGGCTACCTTTAACCCGTGAGGCAACCGGTTATCTATATTCAATATTCTATATTCCACATCCTATACTCACAATATTCCACATTTCACATTCTGCATTTCATACCTCATATCCTACATTCCACATTTTATATCCTACATTTCATATCTTATATTCTATATATCTGTGCAGTTCACATTTCGTACTTAATAGTTTATACTTGTTTTTCTGCATTCCACATCTCACATTTCATGTGAAATACGATATCTTATATCGCATATTTCACATTTTGTCTGTTACGTTCCACAATTCACATTCCATATCCCATTATTCACGTGCCATATTCTATATTGAATATTTGATATTCTATATTGAATATTTCAATATTCTATATTCCACATCCTATACTCACAATATTCCACATTTCACATTCTGCATTTCATACCTCATATCCTACATTCCACATTTTATATCTTACATTTCATATCTTATATTCTATATATCTGTGCAGTTCACATTTCATACTTAATAGTTTATACTTGTTTTTCTGCATTCCACGTCTCACATTTCATGTGAGATACGATATCTTATATCGCATATTTCACATTTTGTCTGTCACGTTCCACAATTCACATTCCATATCCCATTATCCACGTGCAATATTGTACGCAGTATACACCACATTCCACATTCTACATTCCTTTATTCCGTATCTCATTGTATTATAACCTATATTCCAATTTCCAAATATCCTCAGAATTCTTCACAAAATACCGTAGCCCACAAAATTTCCCACTAGGCTAATTTATGAGCTGGTCCGGAATTTCTCGTCCCACAGAATGATTTTCGTAGCCCACAAATTTTTCCATATTCCAAAGCTAATTTGTGAGCTAGGCTGAAATTTCCCGTCTCACAAAGTTGGAGAGGAAAATGTCATTGAAACGAGAACATTCTCATTTCTATTTAAAAGATTTTTCAAATTCATTGCATGTAGATGCGTTTGAGTAAGTCGCTGGTAAACCATGCTATCCGCGATTCTTCTATTTGTGAAGGAGGTAACACATGAAAAAATTTCGGAAAATTCTCGTCGACCGCTGTAAAAACAGAGATGTTCGAGTATCACTCGACGCGGCTCGCAATTGATTACATTACATAGTCACGGTCGACTTGTTGAGCTTCATTAAATCCAGGATTTCATTAAGCTCGCAGCAAATCAGACTAACATTTATTCCATCCACTTTGCCTCCACTTGCGGCTCATTCTTCGTTCGTTTGAAATCAAAGCGATACCCCATCCGGTGTTGAAGCTCAGAGAAATTGGACTAATTATTTCGTAAATACGATTAACAATTAGAAGGATGGTACACTTGAAAAAGATACCGTGGGCTACTAACTCTTATCTGGATTCTATTTGGTGCTTTTATCAAAGAGTAGATTTAATTTAAACGTTAAATTAAAATATTTAAATCTTATTGCCGTTGCATATTCTTTGTGTTATTAATTAATTCAAAATAGAGGTTTAAACAAGGATTCGTGGAAAATGAAATTATAACAGTAGTTGGATTCTAAAATATTGCTCTGCTTTAAACAATTATTTTTATTTGAAAGGAAATTCATTAACAATCGATACAGTCCTACGTTCATCGATGCTGAAATGTATCAGTTGCATTTACAAAATTGTATATTTTTATGAATCAAAAAACAAAAAAATGAATTTTAAACAAAAATTTGTATTATTCATTAAATTTTACAACAGTCACTTGAATATTTAAAATTTCAATATTTTATATATAAATGATACATACGTATGATGTGCATTCTGAAATGCACTTAATATTCGCAGTCTACAATTGAACAAAACCTTTATATCTTCTGAATCTAATTTTAAATGATGAATGAACATTTTATTACGTTGATTATTTTTCTGAAACGATCAATCGATCAAAAATATACTTCTGCAAGCACTTCATAATTAATTAAGAAAGAAGTCTACATTAATTCCGTTCAGGACGTAATAACGAAAAAGCCTTAAACGTATCTTAAAACGAATTTATTTAAAAAAAAATATAATTCAATGACACAAATCACAGTTACAGATGTTGCAAATGAAAAATTCAATTACAATCTCAACGTTGGCCCTCGCCAAATTGAGTAGCACACGAACTTTTCATTACATACTGATAATTTTTTTTTTTTTTCGAAAATTGATCGATCCATTCTATATCTAGCCGAGAGTATGGTCCCGTAAGTACCAGTTCAGAGCGGAGAGTCCGCTCTGAATAAAACGTATGTAAGGAAATGTTATAGCGTAGCGTGCGGAGAGTCTGGTTGATCGAGTTGAAATGGAAAATCGATGATTTCACAGAGCCCCAAAATGCAATCTGCGGGAACGGAGTTGTAGAAGATGGTGAAGAGTGTGATTGCGGATGGGAGGAGGACTGCAACGACCCTTGTTGCCACCCTCAACGGCTTCATCATGCCCCTCACGAGGTACCTTGTCGTCTTGCCGATGGTGCAGTGTGCAGTCCCAGTCAGGTAAGTGGCAGTTTTCCTTCATTTGCTCGATGTCCAAATACGCTCGTTTCGTTCACTGAACTGTGATTAACTCCAACGTTCCTCCTACAACGTGATTCTCTTCGTCCTTCGACGTTGCACCTTTGCTTGTTGATCGTTCGGCCGAGAATTCGGCAGAGATAACGATATCGATCAACTTTTCGTGAGTAACATGAACGTACGGAAATCGTTTCGATAGTCGAACTTCGTGACTAGAAGCTAAGCTATTAAATAATATCAGTTATTATACGTCAATATGAAATTAGAATCTAGTCGAGCAAAAATGTGATTAACGTTTCGTTGATTATTGTAGTTTCCATAAAATTTTCATCTGGAATTTAACGCGATAAAAATCAAAATTGTTGTGGGCATGAAAAATTTTATTTAAATTGGGAAATGAAATATCAAAAATAGACCGAAATGTTTCAGGATTTTTCTGCAAATCCATGTTTTTGGGAATACAATTCGAAAAGCAGGAAATTCGTTTTACGTATCAAATAATCCATAGTCTGCTGATAATGACTAGCTAAAAAAATTTTTAATAACAACAATTACCTTCGATAACTGAATTTCAATCATTATTTAATTTATATTTGATTGATATTTAATTGCGCGAATGTTACAAATATTGAAAGTTTTCTCGAGAATTCAATCAATTTCTGGTCCAATAAATGGAATTCCTTGGATTTCCCTTGGGCAGCTAAAAAGTTGAAAAAGAACAGAATTCAAGGATAATCGTTCGAAAGAAATTGCAAATAAAATACCACCTCTATATAAATTGAATTTCAAACAATTACTTGAGCAAAGTGCCTTGCAGCGAAGTTGCCGAGGAAATTTTTATCCAAAAGAGACGGACAGAATTGATTCGAAACAAGTGACAGTTAGGTCGGACAAGGTACACGAAGTGCGACACGGCAAGCTGAAAGTTAAAATTGCATTTCTCCAAGAGAAAGATGTCAAATTCTTGCTTACATTTGTGCTTGCTGAAATATTAAAAGGCAAACGGGCGGAAGCTGCGAATTTTCTACGGGTCTCCGAGGAGAGATATTTTTACAAACGTACCGAATATACTCTTTTAACAGTGAGTTCCTTTGGAATTTCGACAGAGACTCATTTTCATTTTCTGCGAAAGCTACACGCTGAATATGTTATGAATTCCTATTGAATATCTTGAAAGCGTAATGTCGCAGGAAACGGAATGTGAACGCGCGATGCCTCTTCTTCCTCTGTGAGACGTGAGCCACTTCTTCCAGAAGACGTTCTTCATCGATTTACTTTCGTTACCTTAAAAATAAAAAGAAGAGGGAGATACTTATATAACTTCTTGCCCATTAGTGATAGCATCAAATCAACAATTCATTGATGAAACGTTGAAGATCATTTGTTAATTTATGTAAATTTTTGACTACTGAATTACAATCATTTTTAATCTTACATATTTTTGATAATTTTATTAATTATTAAAGAACAAAGCTATACATACAACAGAAGTGTGCACATCGATAATCAGTTAATGATTTACGTTTTTCTCTTTCGTTCTCGTTGAAGCACGAATACTCTTAATTTTCCCTACCACAAGTAGGTGACAAGATCAATGACACAATTTTTAAGATCGAAATGAAGGATCCTTTCAATCGCTCATCTCTCTCTAACTGATTGCTCCTGGTGCATCAACATCCACTCGATTCTGAAGCGCTCGTTAATACTACTGTTCTCACATGATGTTACTAGTAGTAATAAATAATAATGAGGTACCGTACGCAGCAGTATAATGAATTAATCATTTACATGTATACATATGTGCAATACTTCAACAGTTAATAAGACACGTAATTAAATTTCGTAATTAAATTTCTCGAGCCCTTCAATTTTCGCCAAATTCCGGTCGATCTCAATCACACGATTCAACACAACCCACAGGCCACGATAATTCTACCATACCGTAAAACCGTACGTCCATTATGAGATCGTTTTTCACTCTCTACGTTGAAGCTGCCGAGCTTCCCCGAACTTCCCCAAACGGTTCAAAGATCATCGAGCTTGATCTTATCGAGCTCATCGACGACAAAAAACCTCGATCTCGAAGTCACTACCTCGAGGCTAGGGCTTCTTCCTGGCCTCTTAATTATCACCGACGCATCATTTTTCTCCAGGAAGGACCTACATCATTTCTTCCCTCTTACCCTCTCATCCCTCTCCACTCGTGTATCCGACAGAGTAGCTCGTAATGGATGATTCTGGAAATAAAATGGAGAGAGGGAACACGTCCGTTCTCAATCCTCTTACGTATAACGTCGCTAATTAATAACGAGGCAGGCTACGCGACAGGCTACGGCGCGAGCGTACGGACGTATCGATGTTTATTAATGATACACTAAAGCCGTAATTAAACGCGAAACGTGCCGTTACGCTCTCGTCGTCTCTCGCGCGCGCGCGCGCGTGAGCGTTCAACCTCCGGCTGCAAACCCGTTAATCCAACCAATGCCGATCGTTTGTTCCAACGAACCAAGCAACTTGCGTCCCTCTACAGTTCGATGATTAAACGGTGAGCCGCCGATAATGAGCAGAGGAAATCCGGCGCGTTTCGAAATCGAGACGGTCATAATTTATGCAACCTGTGAAGTTCGACGTTCCTTCGCAGGATTTGCCAGGCGATCACGCACGAGACTCAAGCCAGCTACATGGCGAAACTCGACACTGGATACTGTTACGCGTCGAAACGCAACTGTATTTTACGAAACTTGTACGACTTTCGTCGGGGATCGTGAGAAGAGAAAACAAGGGGAAAATCGAGGGACTGTGGATTTTTATAGGAAATTTATTTTTTTTATAAAATTTACATATATTTCTAGGAAATATGAAGGTACAGGACGGCAGTGTATAAAACTGCGTAAAATGTAAACCCTGAAGTACAGTTGTTGCAATTTTTAATAATCTGGTCATAATTATTGTACTGATCTATAAAAAACATATGCTCAGATTGCCTATCGCATTACGTGAAACTATAAGAATTTGACATTCTAGCTATATGACCTTCAAATTATTATTAAATATCAAATTACTATACAAAATTAATTTGCAAAAATCGATGTCACTATTGAATTTAGAGACCTATTTCAATTTCAATATCTCTGGTAATCTTCTTCTTTTTCATTTTGCAACATTTCATTTCCTTCTTCGATTTTAAACGAGTATCATTATAGATCCAAATTTTCTACATTTACACCCGTTTTAACAACAGTTTGTTACATTCAGCTTCGCTTGTTTCGCTTGAAACAAAAGCGCGAAATAGAATGGAGCTAAAGGCGACCGATTCGTTGACTCGTACTACTGGCGCGGCATAAAATCACTCGTAGATTGAAAACCAAGTCGCAAATGAGATTTTCGTGTAGAGAGATTTTTTTTTTTCTTCGTCTCGCCGTTTAGAGAATCGCAGCTTATAAGTATCCTCCTTTTTTTTCTTTTTTTTTTTTTTTATAACTTATCTAAACATTCCGCGCGCGTATAGAAACAATTAGCAAGCGTAACAAATCTCCGCCTAAATGAAAATACAAATCTGCATAACGAAATTAAAGTGAGAAAGTAAATGTTGTTAGATATAAGGGGAAAGGGATTGAAATTGAAAAGTTGAGAGTCAAAATACAGCGAGAAATTGCAAAGAAAATTTATGCGAACCGGATAACGTGGAAAAGAAGAAGAATACCAATGAGACCTTCGGAGTGGCGAAGTGATTAGCATGCTTGCTTACTGCCTTCGGATCTTCGATACCATTTGCATCTCATCGTTATTTCTCATCGAAAATTTCTCGTCCATTAACAAGATCAACACAAGGGCGTAACCATAAAGAAAAAAAGTGCTTAAAAATATCATGACGTAGACGTATGTGTGAAAGTACTCGCATGCGTGTATAGGAACAGAAGATTTGACGTATTATTATATCAGATAGACTTCAAAAAAAGTTATCGAAAAATTTAGAACAAAAATTCCGCGAGTTAAGCAAACAGATGATTTATATAACAGATCGAAGAGAAAATACGTGGAATTTGCGACAACGTTTCCCGGAAGGAAAGGTCGTGTAGAAATTGAATCTAACGAGTCACATGCAATAAACAATGAACGACGTTCGGACAAGAAGCAGAGAGCATCAACAAGATACAAAATTCCAAGAATCTGAACAAACGAAGAGGAAACTATCCAAGAGTAAAGAAGACAGTAACAAGAGAGAAGTCGCGAGAACGAGGAACAGAAAATTCCAACGTCAATAAAGCGTAGATCGTGGAGCGAAGGAAATAAAAGCAAGAGGGAGAAAACGAAGGAAAAAGGAACTAGTGACAAAAGATTTGAGTGTGTACCGATCGATAAAACCGACGCAATAATGTCTCTGAACACAAGACCGTTTCGCAGAAAAGCGGCGAGAACGAGCCACTTTCCTCGATGGCGGCGAATCACGTTGGAAATTGCAGTCCTCGCACATGCACGATTCTTTGCTCTCGGAGGAACTAGCTGGCCATGGAAAGAACCGGTCATGGAAAGAGAGTTTCGCCAAGGTATAGGACTAGAGCTAGAGAGAGAGAGAGAGAGAGAGAGAGAGAAATTAATTTCCAAGTATGTTTCAAGTCGCAGTACCTGTAGTTCCTGTATACGTGCTGGACGTTATTGTTGACGAGGTGCAAACACACACAAACACAGGAGAGGACAGGGTTTAATTTTCAATGTTAGTCATTCCTATCGGCGACGACCGCGTCACCCTGGTGTACACTCTCGCGGATTCTCGCCGTGTTCGCGGTATCCCAGAGAATGAGACTAATTAATCAAACTGGAATCGAGGCGGCTGTTATCGGGAAGCTTCGGCGAAGCACGAATGAGGGAAACTCTCGCCCGAGCTAAAAACAATTAATCTTGCCTGTGGATACGAACGCTTGATTTTCAAAGTTCCGCCAGATCGCTTCCTTTCGAAATTTCGAACTTATGGAACACGTGAATATCGTTCTCGAGTTTGACTTTCTTTCTCTGTTTCTTCGTTTCATTTTTTTTTTTTTTT